TATCCTGCATGATGTACATTGTCTCCTAAATTAGATTACAAAGTAGAAGACGCTATTGCATTTGTCAGAAAACAAGAATCACTGAAAGGACTAATCAATCGTTTTGTTGTACCAATAGAAAAATATTGCGATAAACTCGAAATGCTATCTGTCGCTAATATCAATCCAAAAAATTTAAGAAATAGTTCCAGGATAAAGCAATTGGTCATTTGGAGTTATAGTCTAGCGGCTTTGGAAAGAGATGCACATTATTTGGCAAACCTTGAAAGACTAAAGATTCAAATTCATGGTAATTATGGAAATATTTTGGTCACAAATGTTCGCTTATGCAAATCTGTCGTTCAGTCCCAGATACTTATTACGATGGTCCAGTATTGGAAAAGCTCAAAATACTTGAGTTGTCCTGTCTTTCATTCTGTGATGCAGACTTTTTTCATGGTTTCCAGTTGATGGATTCATGTCCAAACTTACTAAGTGCACATATTTCCATGAACACGAATACTTGGTTTTTTGATGAAACTTTTAAACACGAATTTTTGCAAGATTTGGTTTTACAATTTGTAAGTATTTTTGAGATTTTTAGGTGTATACTAATTGATTTTATTATATATTTACAGTATGGACTTGATGACGAAAATGATAACTGGAATAATTTAAAAAGATTGTTTAAGAAATTTCCGAATCTCAAACATCTCGCGTTGAAGGGCCATTGTATTATAATAGATGAACATATCGAGCAGTTGGTTCACATTTTACCCAATTTAGTGCTATTGGATGTTAGCGAGTGTCAGGAAGTCACTCAAAGAGCTGCTGATTATGTTAAAGATTATTGTAAAAGATATGGACGGAAAATCAAATTTTACTTCGATGGAAATAAACATGAAATCGATTCAGATTGGCCGCAGTTATCTATTAAACACGAAGCAATTAGTCGAGGCTTGGATTTCATGAAACATTGCTTTCGCAAAAATTTTTTCGCTCTTTCACATTTTTTGATTCCAATTGATTATTGAAAAGTACTTATAAATATATTGTTGTTCTTTACCTCGAAAGCTTATTCTAAGAGTTTCAACTTAATCTCTACTATTCATCCACTTTATGTAATCCATCCAATTAAGCGTTTGCAATTCAGCATTTTGACTGTAAAATTGAAAGTTTACTCGAACAGAGGAAATTATTCAAAGGAAAATACAAATTTTATTTGAAAACTCTCTTCAATTTCTCATACTTATTTCTAAATATAATTTTGATCAAAATCAAAAGTGCAAAACAAAACTACCGCCAGAAGCTGTTCATCCAATGAAATTAAGTACCATCTATCAAAGAATTGAATCCAAGGAGATAACTCTGTGTAAAAATAGACTTTACCATTCTGGTAATCAATCCAATCTAGTGAATCGTCATTGATTCTTTTACCGTTTTACAATCACTAGACTCAAGAAAAACTGTAGTTTTAAGCATTTTATGATAAAATGTTGATCAATGAAATTCCCAATGATTGTTTGCTAGCCATTTTTGATTATATGGTTGACCTGGCTGATTTAATAAGCTGCTATAAAGGTAATTACCAATCATGTTTTGTTTATCAAAAAATTGCCATAGAAAGGGGTTTATCAAAATTGACCCTTGTTTAAATCGTAATTGCAATTTGTTTCAATTACATTATCAAGTTGCAAAGGCTGTTAAGTTGTTCTTGAGTTACATCGAAGCAATTTGTATTTCTGTGACTTCTCATGATACCTTAGTTTTTTATGTTAAGACTAAATCAAAAAACCATTTTCAACTTACCAGAGAGCAGATTTAACTGTATCATAGTCGGTTTGTGAGAAACCATCAAAAGTTGTTTCAATTTGACGAGAGTCAATTTTTCGTCACAGACACCCATTCAGTGACGATTGCAATTTTTTGGGCAAACCTAATCGACGATTTGCTGAATTGACCAGAGACAGTTTCGCATGAGTCAACTAGCTTCAGCCTCTGAGTATTCAAAATAAAAAATCATGATAAAGTTTCTTGTGAATAAATATTCTGCGTCATCTTGTGATTATTGCCTGACTAAACCATCTGACTGTTTAGGCGCAGTATTTAAATATTTACACAGATGTTAAGTCTAGTGTTGTATTGTTACGAACCGAAAACAATATTGTTGTATTATTTTTGTTCTCAAAAATTTGCAACAAATATTAGAAGTAACAAGAACAGTACAAAATTTTGTTCAATTATTAATTCATTCATCTAAACATGAAATAAGGCAAAAAAATTCACTAATGTGACTTTTAATAGCAACCAGTTGCCGCTGACATAATAAATTATGCTAAAGTGCTCGATATTTGAGTATACAATGAGTACAATGTAAAATGAGTAAAATTTTATTACAGTGTGCGTTAAATGGAGCCATTTAATTGCTAAGCGGACTAAAAAAGTTAAATATTTGCTCGGTAAGATTCAAGTTTTATCAATGTTTCATGCCATTGTGATATTAATCTTAGAAATTTATATTTCAGATCAGCGTGGTTATTCATCTGATGCTGTTTATTATCCAAGACCATGTTTGTTCGATGCAACCTACCTGAGTAAATTATTTACAAATTTAACAGTAGGTTGATATTATTAATGAATTTTTTTTTGCCTTTTAATTGAATTTCAATTTCCTTTGCTTATTAACTTAGATCGCTGATTTGTCTATCAAGTTGAATTTTGAAGTAGAAAATGTTATTCAATTTGTCACCAAACAAAAATGTTTGAAAGGATTAATCAATCCACTCGACGAACCAATAGAAAAATATTGTGATAATCTCGAATGCTATCTGTCGATGATTTCAATCCAAACAATTTACGAAATGGTTTCCAGCATAAAGCAATTGGGAAATTTTTAGTTATAGGTTAGAGCATTTGAAAGAGATGTTCATTTGTTCCC